ATGATGTATAAATCTCAATTTCAAAAAATTGACCCTTATGACTGGTTTTGTGGTCCAGGGTCACATATTTATGTATGATCCTGCAGGCCTGTTTGAATATGTTGATGAAGTCTGCCTTCTGTGTGTGGAAGGCCAGAGGCCATCCGGATGCATGTCGTCTGGTGTATGTGTTTGGACAAGTAATCAACTAATGAAAGAGCATCTCTCTCTAACACACACTCTGTTCTCTAATGTCGTGCCGCAGTGTTCTCAGTGACTGAACTAACTGTTCACAGTGTCATCATTTTGAATCCAATTCTGAATATCTACGTGGTCATGGGTTTCCAGTGGTATGGAATGTAGGGGTGGGAATCACCACAGGCCTCACGATATGATATTATCACGATACTTGTGTCACGGTACAATATTATTGCGATTTTAAATATATTGCGATATTCTGCGATATATTGCAATTTATAACCTTTTTCCAACTTTTAATTATGTCCCCAAAGGAAAACTTTGACAACATCTGTTTTAACTAGAGAAACATTTCTCAGTTTGTTTATCTCACTTCAGTTGTATTGTTGCAGTGCAAAATAGGATTGTCAAGCAGACAAACTGACCAACACTTTCATGAAAACCTGTCATAAAGGTTGTAATACCTGGCAAACTCAACTATTTGTATTACAGTCTAGTCTAGTCCACCTTAAAAAATTTAAACAGGTATGCACTGCTGTGCTACTACAGGTATTTTGAACAGTGCAACTTGAAATTGTACTAAAAAGTTGTGCAGACCCTTCAGCAATTGGGGCATTTGAAAGTAAATTACTGTTACATTTAAATTAAATTCAATAAAACATGTAGTCTTACATCTAGGGATTCAGTGAAATTAAAATTCTGGGCCTAAACGGAAACCGAAAATTCTGGATGCACTTGGCCGAAAACCGAAACCGAAAATGCTTTGTAATGATTATTTATTATTTTATTAAATAATATAAAGTAATTTTGTAAGACTTTTTTAATTTAACTCAATTTTAATGATACTGAATTAAAAAAAAACACAAGCCATTAAAATAACCACACTTTTACTGAAAGTAACACAATAAAACTGGACATAATTTATATTAATATTGGTAACACTTTACAGTAAGGTTCATTAGTTAGCTACTTTAGTTAATGAACTAAGAATAGTTCTTCAGCATTTACTAATCTTAGTTCATGTTAATTTCAACATTTACTAATGCATTATTAAAATCAA